GGTAAACATGGGAGACATCTCTGGCAGATCATTTATAGAATGATGGTAAACAGGGGGACAATATTTCTTTGGTGGTTATTTATAGAATGATGGTAAACAGGGGAGAGATCTTTTTGGTAGTTATTTATAGAATGATGGTAAACAGGGCAGACAACATCTTGGGTAGACCAATCATGGTGGTGAAAATGGTAAGATGTTTGAGGCACTAATTATTTATGCTTCAGTATTTGGGGCTTATATTGTGGCAGTGTGTGTGCATGATGTTTTTTTCAGTTAATGTGTGGAAGGGGTCTGTTTGTAAGTGCATTTTGATGAGTATACATGGTAGAGGGAGGGTGGAACAGAAATATATTCTGCTCAGTGAAACAACAAACAACACAATAGTGTTAACATAAATATTGCATTTTAGTAGAAACACAGGAAGTACAAATACACAAAGTAATAATAATTGCCATTAAAAGATCTGCGCACTGAGCATTTGGCACATATGAGTCTTGTAAGTAAACTTTCCATAATTTCAGCAGGCTCAATAGCTCGGCAGTCATACCCCTGTGAAACCAATAACTTACTACCAATAACTACATCAATAATCTTAGCTCCGTAAAAGTATATAAAAGTTTTCATAATAAAATAATGCAACAAAATAAAAGCAACTGAAAATTGAAAAAAAAAGATCCTCAAAAATATGTTTGATACTTTGATAGCGTGACTGTAAAAAGTGTAATTCATTCATGATTTGTTGGTAATCACCGCCAAGTGCAGTCAATTACAAATTCCGGCCTGACCTGCAAGCCAATCGCTTGGCCAATTCCTCATCATGCTGTCTATATACAAGACATCAGTGATAAAGTATTTCACTTTATTTGAGGTTGTTCAAGCTGTTTTAATGCTTAAAGATTATTTCAACAACAGAATATCTGCCCTCATGGGTTGGTAGAATAAATGGGGTATGTGGTGGGTTCAGTAAAAACAAAATAATGTTTTCTTACAAATGAATCTGCAGTCACAAAAACACATGACAGAAAGAATATATTTACATTGTAATTTTGTTACTACATAAAATAGCTTCAGGGAGTAACACAGCAAACATCGAGCTTATATTTACATTGGGATTGTACAAGCTGTATATTTGTTTTCCATAATTGATTGATTTTTAGATTTTTGATGTTTTGCTCCTGAATTTTAGACAGCTATGTTATTTATAAATGAAATATTATTTACATACGAACATACATTCTCGCCACAGAATAGAACACTACCCTTAACAGGAAATGAACAGGAATATACCATTATTTTAAATAGGTAAGGAAGGTATACACTGATTTGCTATACACTAACAAGATGCTAGGGAGTGTCTTCATGCTGATAAATTCTATGTTAGCTAAGCAGGAACACTTGATGTCATTTATTCAATACCAAAAGTACTAGTTTCTTCAACGGCTGTGATAAGTTTCTCCAATAACATTGCATAGGAAGTGTACGGCGGCAAGTCCACTCTGTTGAAGCAGGTGTGAGCTCTGCAAGAAATGAAATAATCCCAACATGTCTAATCAGTAAAACAGTATATAGCTACTAATAAGACCATTTTCTGAACTTCTCAAGATCTTTGGTTATGTGCGAAATTGAACATAAAACAAGCCAAAATCAATCAAAACAAAAATGAACGAGATACGACAAACGTATTTTCTCATTCCATATGAGTTTGATGATGGTTAATTTTGATGAAGTTAGGGTATCTCAATGCCATGTTCTCTTAACATTCAGTATACTGATGTTGAACTACAAAAATAGAAACTGAAGTTCAAAAACTTGACACATTTCACACATAACATAAATAGACTATTTCATAAATTTGCCTTGCTGTCACTCCATTCTCAGTGTGGCATCAGGAATGTGTAAGACATTTACACAAAATACTAAGTTAGAATAACATAACAAAATAATAAATTCCCATAACTCAAGTAATGCATCATTTATAAATGGGATCCGCAATTATCCCTTTTTTAACAAAGTCTGAAAAAGCCACTGGTATCGTAGAAACAAATGTATAGGCAAGAAAAGTCAAATTCATTTGACTGAAAACAGATTGACACATGCAGCAACCAAGTCACCCAGCCGTCTATTGAATATAACAAACTCAAAATATCCAATCTGATAACAATCTTAAATCTTCCTCAGAAGACAGTGTTATTATAAATGGGCGAGGGGCCAATGTTGGCATTGAGTACTGTCACAGATGACAGGTAACCATGAAAGTGGTATTCAGAATGCATGGTCTCTGTAACTGAAAATACACTCATTTATTTACCTGGGCAAACTGCTAATTTTCCCCCATTTTTCAATGCAGAATTTCCTGGGTCCATTACTACCCCGGAGCGCAGCAAATCCTTCATAAGGGATGCTGGATGTACCCGTCACAAACTGGATTAATCTCAGTCGCCTCTCATTATCGAATCGTTCTACTGCTTGCCAGAACCACTGAATTACAGGATGTTTGTCATGGTAACCTAAAAAAGAAATAAGAATATTAAATTTAAAAATCTTTTACCACCATTTGGCCATTTTTTATCAGAAACAAGAACAAAATGTTGTGCATATATGCCCTATCCTTTTTATGTGGTAGGTTGGAAGCAAATCAATCAATACAACCTAAATAAGACATGCTTATTTTAACAATTGTTTTGCTCATATCATAGAAACTAAATAATTGTATATGTACTTTATAAAAACACATCTATGTCCTAATCTCCAACTAATATAACCTAATATGACAGATACAACAGGAAGAATTTCTAGAAACATAATGGCTGCCTGACAGCCATCTGTGATCAAAACATGAAGCAAATTGCTGTGCATAGACACCACATTAGCTAGGTCAGTGCATGCTAAAATATGTGATGAAAGGATGGTTGAAAAGACTGGTGGATGAAAAGAAACAAGTCCCTGTTTTGGTCTGAATGGGTAACTAAAAAGCAAATACCAGAAAATTAGCTAGACTTTTGGATCAGGAATCCAACCGTCTCCAGCTGAAGATGGATCAATGCTAAATACCTTTGAATCTTTGACAATAACTAATGTATGCGGTCCACTTAACCACACATGAACTTGAACAAGACAAAGCAAAGTCTGCACATACAGTTGAATGGTTACTTGTGATAGCATAAAATCACTCTGGGCGGTCAGGTTATTATTACTATAATTGCTCATTGCTGGAATGTACATTGTATTGTGGTATATGGATAATTTCGCATCACAATCGTTTGATCCAATAGTTAAGGTTTCTCGGTTAACAAACCTGCAGGTGTCAAAGTGGGGCTATTATAGTGTACATATACAATGAAGCTGGAGCGCATAATTCAAAATCACTGAAGAATATCACTACTTCAGTAAACCTTTTCACCACTGCTTCCCTCTTTTCATCACAAATTCAAAATTAGTTTGTTAGTTAGTCTTCACTTTTCTTGAGAAGATTGAGAGAAAAATAACCAATTTTTTTGAGTCAAAACTGAAAATTGATTCAAATTGTGTCTTTTGGCTCCCAAATTAAGGTTCGTTTACAAAAATATAAGAAAAAAATGCAGAAAATTTGTGGGCGGGAAAGTCTGGTGGTGAAAACGTTAAAATTGACTCAAATTGTGTCTGTTGGCTCCTAAATTAAAGTCATTTCCAGAAATAGTGAAAAATATTAGAAAATGTGCAGAATATTTGTGGGCGAGAAAGTCTGGTGGTGAAAAGGTTAATAAACTGCAGTACAACAATAGTTACCCCCCACATCCGGATCTGAAATCTGACATAGTTTTGCAAAGACTTATCAGTTCATAGCATTAAAGAAGACATGTAGCACATCGGTATGCATATAATGAACAGGAATGTATGTTAATATCAGCTGTGAACATCACATGGGACCAAGTCTAACATATGCATGGTATAGAGCTTTCTATGGAGACTTGATATAAAATGGAGAATGACAAATTTCAATGCCATGTGAACTATGTGAAAGAATGAATTCTTTGAAACTTATAATAAAATGTAGCACACGAAGACCAAGAGACTTTTTAAATTAAAAAAACACACCAAGATTCAAGCCAACATTGTCAACCATGTTATTATAACTAAACGTATTTACATTAGAAACTGAATAAGTTTGAAAATCAGTGTACAACCTGATGAATGACCATAAGAGAAATGTTAAATACAGTCATCTCCTTAATAAGCCTTGACCCTCTATCATCATTCAGGTGATGTAGGACCCACCACTTCAGTGTCCCTCATTAAAAGAGACGGTTAAAAACAGATCAGACACAATACTATTACTTATTAATCAGTGTTATCTCAAAACAGCCATTTACCTGCAGTAAAACTAATTTATGTGAACAAGCCTTTAGACTCCTGGATGCCGGGAGACTTGAAACTCAAGGACAGGGTCAATGGGACAGATAATTACCCAAAGTATAACATAGCAGGACATTAAAACAGCGGAAATCCTGAAGGTCAACTACATCATTCTCACAAGTAGGTACGATATTAAAATTTTAGTCAAGTATTAGAATTATTATTTTACTTATTGGTCCACATGTGGTATATCAAATCAAGCAGCCTATCGGCTGAGATAGCTCCGCTGTTAGCAATGCACATTTCAATTAAAGAACTGAGACATCATTAGAAAATGAACAATATGTATAATATCAAAGTAATCGGACTTACAGTTTTTAACAAGAAGTCGAAAATATCACTTTTTACCAAAAATGACACAAATATCCACCAAAATTAGAGAATTAAAGATATCATCACGAAATGAACAAATCTGAGAAAGGTCTACATGTAGTATCTATATATGTAATATCAAAACAATTGAACTTTTGGTTTTTAAACAAGAAGACGAGAATATCACTTTTTACCAGAAATTACAAAAATATTCACCAAAATTAGAGAATGAAGTTATCATCACAAAATGAACAAATCTGAGAGAGGTCCACATGTAGTATCTATATATGTAATATCAAAGCAATTGAACTATTGGTTTTTTAACAAGAAGTCGAAAATATCACTTTTTACCAAAAATTTGAAAAATATTCATCAAAATTAGAGAATTGAAGATATCATCATGAAATGAACAAATCTAAGAGAGGTCTACCCAAGGTACATATACACCAAGTATCAAAGCATTCAGGCTTGTAGTTTTCAAGAAGAAGTCGAAAAAGTAAAACATTGACACGGACGACGACAGACAATCACTCATATGATAAGCTCCGCTCGACAAAGTCGACAGCGGAGCTAAAAAAAGTATTTTTAGCGACTTGATAGAATTACTCAGTACTTGCTATCAGATATGTGTGCCAGTAAGTGAATTACCTCAGCTATTCAGCACATAGCAATACTACACAGTGTCACAATCAATATTGCAAAGAAAACCACATTACTTCTCAGTGTGGGTCCCTTATAATATTATTCATGAGACAACAATATATCCATTGGATATTTTCAATAATTTCTTTTGAAGGCAATTTGATCTGCCCTTGGAATTTTCATGCTGACAAGTTCCATAAGGGTGGAAAAATATTTCTAAATCAGAATCAATGGGGGAGACCGAAGCGACTTAATTGATGGGATTCATTCATTGATAAATGTTATGGTCCATCACAGGTGCATGTGTTCGATCAAGCTGATGCCAGTGAATAGCATTGTGATACGGGTGAAGGTCACAAAGTTCCAAACATAGTACCATATATGGTAATTTGCACATAAACAAAATTAGCGATATATAACGTGGGAAACAGTCACCTGGCACAAAAATATTATCAAAAATATATATATATATTAGATATTATATATCTAGTTTGAAATGACAATAGAAATATTATAGAATTAACAAACTTTATATGCTTTTTGATTTTTTTCAGAAATTAGCAAAACTATGTTTTGTTTCAAAATTTTGTCTACTGCCTCTATCATTTCAAGTTCTCCCAACCTATATTGAAACTTAATATGATTTTGATTTTTTTCAGAAATTAGCATATCTATGTTTTGTTTCAAAATTATGTCCACTGCCTGTATCATTTTCAGTTTTCCCAACCTATATTGAATCATAAATCGATCATCCATACCTGATCTGTACTCTGTATTCTTTCTCCAGTCATTGACATCAACCTCTGCAATACCAGCAATGACTAATTCTAATTCTCTCGCATCAAATACCGATATAAGCCGGTTATCTACCACTTCATAAAAGCCTCGCACTAAGCTATCTGTCTGCTCGCACACGCCCCTTTCTATTCGCCATTTCACCATGCGTTCGATATATTCCTTTTTGTTCTTTTCGGTTACTGGAATGTTTTTACCGTTGTGTTTAAGCTCTCTTTCTGTAAGCTGTTGGCAAAAAAAAAAAAAAAAAAAAAAGAGTACATCAAAATCCAATTCTGGTTTTTTCAACCTTCTACAGACATTTCAAACTTAATATTAACTTTTTAATCTAGCCAGTTTTTCAATCTAGTAAATACATCTGTTGTGAAAATAGGCATAACTGGAGGTGTCCCTTTAAGTAACACTGTTTTTGTCCTCATTTGCATGCTTGTTTTGACTTTTTCTAATGGACCAATGTGAACAAAAACAATGAAATTTTTATTTTGATCCTTAAAACATCTGTTGAATATACATGAGACTTAGCAAGATACAGTAGGGAAAAAATAATCATGGCTGTCTAAACAATTGCACATGAAACATTCAAAATATTGCTAAACTAATATTTTTGATGAATTTCCTCAATGAGGCGAAATTTGAGATGAAAAAATAGTACCTGGGGCTAGCAAGAATACACTATCATGTACTGTAAAATGACTAATTTTCACTGGGTTTAAATTTCACTGATTTACCATTTCAGCGATATTTAGTGGGTTTTAAATTCATGGTTTTATCATTTAGATAATGTGTTCTATGCTAAATTTGACATATTCACTGGGTTTTAATTTAGCGCATTTTTCATTCAGCGAAATAAGCTAAATTAAAACCCAGTGAATAATGAACCCCTTTACAGTAGTCCATTGCTTTATATGTGATATAGACATAACCATCTCACCTGACCAAAAACCTCCTCATCCACTGTAAATGTAAGATCTAAAACGTCTGTGATATCGTTGTCTTTGACCCATAATAAACTCTGGTGGAATTCAGCGTCTAAGTATTCAAGATCACTCAGTGTACAGGGACGACGTAATAATGCTTTATAAAAAGGTCTGGTGAAGAATGCATCTAGTAGAAACTGGTGAACTATAGCTAAACCTATTACGCGGCCACAAAATCTGAACCTGAAAAAATATAAATAAATAAATAAGTGACAAAAATCAATTATTATTAATACTCTTCTATAATTATTCATAGCAAGCATCTGTTGAACTTGTCATAAAAAAACTGCCGCTCAGTCCTAGTGCAGTATTGTAAAACAGGTGTCTACAGAGCGCCCTCAACGACTACACTTTTCAACACTGTCATGCAATAGCGTCCTCTATGTTCAATACTCACCATTCTAATTGATTATCCACAAAAGCAGACATGGGACTAATTTGTACAGTGTAAGTATCGTTGGCAGAATACTCAAACAGACCATAATATGGATTAAATAACTCTCTTGATAATAAAAAGAAAAATTCTCTTGATGGGCCACCATAATCCAACCTGTTAAAGAAATATCAATGTCAACATTAGTGAAAATTAATAGCAACATTTCTCAAATCAAGTGTGTGGTGGCGCTATTTTGATTTCACAGTGTAAATTGCTAGTATCCTCGGGGGCGGAGCTACGTCACATACGTTCTACATTGCTAAGACGCGCACCACTGTACCACGTATTTCTATGGGCTTTGTGAGCGCTGCTGTGGAACACCGGTGGAGCCGGTGAAAACTCGAGAAAACAACACAAACTGAACTTGAAGTAATCCTGAACAACCAAATTCATATATGTTACACACGTAGGGCTAATCTTGTTACGCTGTTCAGGGGACTCTCAACAACCATCGCAAAGTACCGTTTTCTGCGAGTTTTTGGTCTTTGTTTTCACCGCGAGGGTTGCCAGGCGGTAGAAAATGCCCGGATGTCCGCCCCCGAGGATTCAACAAATTCAAAGTAAAGTGGTGTCAGACAACATTTCTCAAAACTGACTTGTGGTGGCACTATCACAAATACACTCATCTTTGAGAATTATTAAAAATGTGTTTAAGGAAACTCACCCTTCTTCACCATAAAATGTAATGTACAATTTATGTTTTTGTAAATCTCGTTTAGGGGTTGCCATGACTTTATTGAATGCATCTTCCAATAAATGGTCTCGTCTGATGTTCATTCTAGAAAAAGACAACAAAACAGGAGTTAATGATATTTTGGTCAGCACACGAATGATCCATACAACCCTTTATATAATATTTGTTGACTTGGACATAGGAAACAAAGTGGTTGCATATTCTAAAACATTCATATTTGTGAGACCATAATAATATGCACTGTTAAATACTTTATCTAAGCTGGAATTAATTTTTCGCTGAAAAGGCTTTTTGGGTGTTTTGTATGGAATTTATTTTCACTGATTTTTGATATATTGAATTTGAAATATAGGAAAAAAGGTATATTGGCTGGATTTTATTTTCACTGGATCATCCCTTCAGCGAAAATAAATTCCAAGCGAAAAAAAGTATTTTACAGTATGCCCAGAACGCTACAAAAATGCAGCAACACAATCAATGTACAATGGGTTGTCATTCATTGTTATTTACATATACATGTATATCAAAATACGCAGCACTCTCCAGCAACAGTTTTCCTCACAAACAGAAAATTGAACAGAATGTTTCCTTACAAAAATTAACATTACCTATCATGCAACATTCAGCCTACCAATGATTGTATTATATCTTACTTGAGTTTTCCAGGGCCTTGGCCGTAACCTTTTGATTCCATCTTTCGGTGGAAATTCCTGAGTTTTGCTTCAAAATCTCTCCTGTAAGGAGCTGGAGCTCGAGCATTGGCACGTGAAAGCCCTACAAATAACAAGATGAGAGAGTTAGTATAGCATTTGTGTGTAACCTCACATTGCACAGATGTACTACTGGAAGTCACAAGGATCGCTGAGTCAGCAATAGACATTGTCCAAGTCTATGAACATACTAACAACCATAAAACCAAATCTTAGAATATGATTGCACTTCAACAGAAAATATGTTAAACTGGTGTTGGGATATTTTATTCGTTTCTTTGGTTAAAAATTACCATTTTACCACCAAGTCATGTATGTGTGTGATATACAATTAGAACCAGAGAGCCTGGAACTAAAGGAATTTAGCAGTGGTGATATAACGATTCAATTGATATTGAGATAAATGTGTTAAATGCATACCTGGTGAAGAATGCGGCGATTGCTGTGGGGATCCTCTTGGGGATGCTGTACTTGAGGTATGCACCCCTTGTATCGGTATATATGACATGATGTCATCCTCAAACAAACTGAAAATACACAAATAATCACATTAAGACTGGATATACAGACTGGAAAATTCTTTTCAATTAGATTCGTACATTTCTGAAAACTTGATTGTCCCAAAATAAAACGTGGTCGACAATCAAGATTAAGAAACAGAATTGAATCGATTCATTAATGATTTTTTTTCATTCCTAGAAATGGTACCACCTATTGCCTACAAATAACAAATCTATATCAGTTTGGGCAAAACCACATCTAAAATTGATTAATCTGCATTGATCAGCAATAAATAGACCAATCCAAAAGATTATAACATATTGGCCCATAGAGGGCGCTATTGTTTACCTTAGGAGTATAATAAGATCAATGTCATTGGAAAATCGTTCTAAAGCCTCTGTACCATCTATTCTAATGTGGTTTAATTTATCTCTGAAATAGACAAGAAATAAAATGTGCAAAATGAGATGACATATTCACATACAACTTTAGCAATTGATACACCATACAGGCCTAGCAAAGTTAGTTCGAATAATTCCAGAATGATTATCACATATTATAATAATGATGAGAGCCTGCCAATCAAATATGGTAGAGGAACTACATTCAATATCAGACCATCCTGAAAGAAATGCGGCATAAAATGTATTACAGACCAAATCATCCGTCATTTATATGAATATTTATAAGGTAAATGTTCTCTTTGTTGCAAAGATAAAACAGTTCATATTTCGGCAATGAAAAATTTTTATGATGTCCCTACCAGTGAATAGACACAAGATTAATCTCCAATACAATTATATATATCAATGATTTACAAAATCTTGACAAATTTTGGCTATGGCCAACATATTAGAGTTTGATGAGTAGTAGCAGCAGCAGTCAGTGCAAGAGCAACGTACATGAAAAGTCAGTACACACTTCACTGAACGCCAAAATACCCCAGACATTTCTATTCTTAACAATGTATCACATTTGCGAGTCATATACATGACAATGAGCTGTAATAACAGTGGATATAAAAAGAAAGAATGAAACTTACTTTAACACTATATTTGAACTCAAAGCTGACTGTCTTTCCTTGAGAATGTCCATTATATTGGGTTGTCGAAGGAAAGCCACCACTTTCTCGTTGTAAGCTGTGAACAATATTTAGAAACTCATTACAGCTAAACTGAAGACAAAACATGGTGAAAACCAGACATAAAAGATGTGTCTATGGTCAAATTAAATCACTGATCTAGTATACAAAAAATAAATTTTGAAGAACCAGTGGTTTTGATTGAATAAAATATTTGTCATTGGAACAACAGAAAAACAATATTGAATAAATGTACACAGCAGTGTGGCAAATATAACAAATTATATTTTGTAATAAGAGCATATATGGTATAGAATGAGTGGAGAGTGGCCTTACCTGTAGGAACTGGAGTGTGTCCTGATCGCCTGCTTAGAGTATCAACAGGTCGTGGTCGCACTGGAGGGCCATGACGTCCACCCACCTACAAACAAATTTCAGTCAAATTACAATTACAGAAAGCTATTTCTTACGACTGTAAAACCAAAAAAGACAATTTTGTTGAGGTACTTTTGAACAAAATTAAGCTTAACCAATTATATAATTTGTTACATAAATAATGTAAAAGCAGCACTCTGATTGGGTAGTACTAGTAGAACAAACTCAGGCTAATGATATTTAGATGATGAGGCTTACCAGTGAATATGAATTTCTGATATCATCTTCTCCAGCACTTCTGCTTCTATTTCTAGATGATGGTACTTGTAAGGTGGTGATAGGGTCTATAACACTACTTAATGGTTTGATTGGCAGTCTGGGGTCTATAAAAGTTGTACACCTATGGTTGTGGTCTATGAAAAATGACTGCAATACAAATCAATACAGTTTGGTTAGCAAGTGTCAATTTCTAAATGTCAAGTTTTATTTTCCAAACCTCTGATGGACTTTGTAATACTGTAAGTGAATCAGAAGAATATTTGATATTTTTTACAAATGACCACACGTTTATTTAGTAGCAACATGGTATTGTGAAAGCATTAATTTTCACTGTATTTGATTTTACAGTTTTGATATTTGATAATATTCACAGAGAATTATAATTTTATATATTTAATTTTATATGTTTATTGGATTTAATTCAGTAGATTTAATCATCAGTGTGAATAAAATCTAGTAAAATAATTTATGAACTTACAGTATAAATAAGATAAACCAAGATGAGATGAGATGTGGTTTTATGAATTCAAGAGGGAAGAGCTGATAATAATTCAGCAATTTAATCCCATTTTTAATTCATGCATTCATTGATAAGAATCAGTTATTACCGGTAATATCCATCTCTAGCTCACCCCTTCACTTCACGTACCTGGAGTCACAATACTCAAATATACATGAACAATGAGATTGTACTAGGAAGGGCACTGCAATATTGACACACACACACACTGAGTGGGTGTACATCATCGTCATGCTCACCTTTCCAGCTCTGTCGTATTTCACCTCCCAGCCTCGCGGCAAATCCTGCGATGTGTCGGCAAAATGATTTAACAATGATACTAAATCTCGATTATGCTGATAATGATCAAACTGCGCAGGGTCTCGACGAATCTTGTTCACCATATGTTTGAGTGATGAATTCCTAGCGTATTGTTGGCTGGCTTCCTGAACACAATGGAAACGATATAAAAATTGTGATAAATAACAGCTGTAAATACATTTTTCTGTTCAGCCACAGAGCTGGCAAATATCTCAGTACTTTAAAGCTATCAAGTAAACAAAATAACTTACAGAGTTTTCATGAATAATGGCAAAGAAATCGGGTCTGGTGAAGAATTTCACAGCTGGTGTCTCTAGTGACGAACCTCTGTCAGCAGGTGATGGTAAACTGCCGCCCTCACCTCCTCCTGTGATGAGAACAAGATATATTAACATTTCATACCTAAACTAAGTAAAGTAGCTGGAGGTGGGTTAAAAATCAGCAAATTTTGCTCGCCAGATCAAATTGGATTTCATGTCTTATATGTTGAACAAAATTTCCTCCTGTAACAGGTGAACATTTTGAAATGGATACAATTGGGAGCAGGTCATGCTATTTTATTAGTCAGTGAGTTTTTAAATATGGGCTTATATGATCCACCCAGGTATGAGAAAATATTGTCTGTTATGAATGCTCAAGTGTTTTTGTCTGGTATGAGCATGTGACAGAGGGCATGGACCCCAAAGCACTGCCCCCTATAATGGGTGCTTTACCAGGGACCAATGAGTACACATCATTTCAACACATGGGGAAATCCAATTCAATATACCGATAGAAACATTGCTGATTGATAAATGTAAAAATTGGTTTGGATGGAAAGGCAGTTGAATCTCTGTCAATTTTATTGTCTGGAAATATTTAAGTTATTTGGGATTTATTGATTTTTTACATATTGAATAGTTTTTTTTTGATACATCAACAGATTACTGTTTTAATCTATAGGATGTATGTATAAGATGTATTTTTATTATTATTTCTAAATATTTTATTAAATATTAAGGCATAATTAATGTATAGCATGGCAGCATGTATAGAAACAGAAACTCACAGCATGACAGACTAAAACATGAAATGTGTTATAAGGCAATCAACACTGGTGAAATCAGTATACAGGACTTGACTGATCCAGGACTAGTCACAGTCGGAGATAAAATTTTGATATTGTGTCTTAAATGGCTTGCGAGATATAAATAATGTGTATATAGTTCCAAATACGCTAAATATGAGAGGTTTGCAAGCAAGTGACTTTCAAAAAAAAAAGCTGTGAAATTCAAGTTATTTGTTGCATATGGTAGTCACCCTTTTGTGTCCTCGATCACTCTGGGACACAAACACTAAAACAACAACAAAGTATAAACAAACTTTAACTCAAACATGTAACTGTTTGTTGATAAGCAACCAAGGCATGTGGTCATACAAGGCCACAGTGATTTAATTTTATGGATGACCTCCTCTGGAGACCCCAAATCTAATGCGAGAGGCGAAAAAAAAAAAATCCTGCCAAAAAAAAAAAAAAATCCTGCTAAAACCACAGGACTACGGAGCTGCTATTACGAATTGAACCACAGAACACAATGTATCAAAAAACAACAAGAAGTCTTTATTTGTAGGAGGCACATGTTGATATACATATCTCGTACTGTATTACTGTCACAGGTATAACCATTTCAGACAAGCTCTAGTACATGTAGTCATGATGAAGTACCTTCAGTCAAAACACTGCATTCAAGGTACAACATGAACATCATTTTCAGTACAAGTCAAGGCGGAATGTACAAACACTACTTTATGACAATAACTAACAAAACATTGCATGATACAGAAATGTC